CGCTGCTTCGGCCCATCCTCAGGGGGAGGTGTGCTTGTACAGCCCTGCTCAGGCTTCTTATTTAATTTTCAGATTGTTATTTATCTCCCAGTACTGAACCCGCGCCTGTTCCCCCAGGCTGCGGCGTTCACCTGCCCGCAGGACCGGTGCCTGTGTGAATGACAGAGACATTCTCTTTGAGCTGAATATTATTCTTCTTATCATATATAGGTTTTTTTTTTTTTCTATCTTATGCAGTTTGACCCTGAATCTATTCCACAAGAACCCAGCAAAAGCTGAGCCCCCCCATCAGCTGAAGTTTCTGCACACTACCTTGTCTCGCAAAGGTCTGGAGGAGTTTTTTGATGATCCAAGAAACTGGGGAGAAAAAACTGTAAAGTCTGGTGAGTTCTGTTTAGCATTTCTGATAGTCATCTTTGAGCCCCTTGTGCTCAGCTGAAATCCGACCTATTCTTTGGCATTGTAGGAAGTATTCGTAGCTACGTAAAACTTATTTTTTATAGGTATACATATGTATATTTGGGCATCTTTATGCCTGTTCATTTTTTTTTTTCTGTTTGTGAAAGCAAATAGCTATTATACAGCAAAATATGTTGCTGTAAATCCTCTGCCTTGCTCTTAAGTGAGTCTGTCACAGAAGAGATGTTCTTTGATTAAATATATGGTACTACAGAAGAAAGATGTTTCAATGTAAAGATTCATCTCATAGCTTTCCCTCTTCCTAGCATCTTACAAACACAAATAAATAGTACATGTAATTGCCTTTTTAATGTATTTGTAAATTCAAAGCAAAGCTGAATATCCACAAGGATAGCTTTCCAAGAGGTAATTTTTTTTTTTTAAAGTGATCCTTGTTCTGTTGAGTCAGGTAAGCCTGATAATAGAGCACATTTTTTTTCAGAGTAAGAGAACTCTGTTCTATTAAATTGATTTTTTTTTACAGGGGATGCATGGAATATAAAGCAGCTAAGGGGCAAGAGTAGTGAAGACTTGCACAAACTTTGGTAAGTTTTAGTAAAGTATTTTCTCTTCTTTCAAAGCAGCTCTGCACGTTTTTTTAAAATGTGGCTAGTCAACCACATTTAGTCTGCCATACAGCTCTGTATGCTTAAGCCTGCATTGGGCTTGGAACAGCCCAAGTTCTGATACTGCTCAGAGTAGGAAAGCTGTACTGCAGATGGTTGTGTGATGGCTGTATCCAAGACAGCAGGTTCAGGGTTGGTACGAAGAGGCTGAGTTTGAGCCCCTTGGGGGTTGTTCAAACTGCAGGACAGACGTGGTTGTAAGTGACCTCTGGTGGGGCTAACCGCTAAAGGAGATCAGGTTGCTCAGGTCTGCATCCATTCAGATTTTGAGTGTCTAAGGCTGGAAGTTGTAGGCAACCTGTGCCATGGCTAAACTAGTACTTAATTGAATATCTTTTTCCTTGCTGTATCTTGTCCTTTTGCTGTGCACCTGTAAGAAGTGTTTGTCTCTGTCAGGTAGTGTAAGACTACAGTGTTAACCTCTCCCGTCCTTAGCTTTTTTTATTCCGGGTTAGGTAGATCTGTCTCCTTCAGCCTCTCCTTGTATGTCCTTGTACATCAGCCCTCCCCTGCTTGGTTTTCTCCAGTTGGTCAGTATCTTTGTGTTTCTGTATATGAAGCTAGCAGGTATAGGATATGGGATTATAGGTTGGACAACTGTGCTCTGTCCAGCAGGGTAATAATAATAAATAATAATTGCCACTGCAGCTTGAAATTATTTTTTAAATACTATGCTTTCTGATCTAGGTATGTCCTACTGAAGGAAAAAAACATGCTTCTAACTTTAGAGCAAGAATCAAAGCGACAACTCAGGCCTATGCCAAGTCCAGAACGATTAGAAAAGGTAAATTTTTCATACTAGCTAAGAATATAACTCTAAGTAAAATTGCTGAGTTTTCACTGAGTGAAAAGCGAAGTGTTTGTAAACTTGTTAGACCATTTTTTAAACTATTTCCCTGATTTTAGTATAAGCAAAAACACTGTGCTCAAGCAACATAGTGGGAAAGGTCTCTCCACTTGGTGTATAATGTTAACAAATATCTTGCCGTCTTCACGGAGAGAAACTTCCTGGTAAAACTTCAACATTGTCTATATTCTTACCCTTCATAATTATTTTTTTTTAGCTAATTAACTGTTGCCAACTTCTTGCCTCTGACATTGTCTTCTCTAAACTCATGCCCTTTGGTTCTTGTCCTCACTTTTGTCATCGCCTCCTTTTGCATTATTGTGATTCTGCCACTAATTCGTTAAATTCTGTCCTCAGTATCTCTCTACCATTGAAAATTTCATTTACTTTTAAATGGACTCCCATCTCTGTGCTTATGTCTCACACATGGAAGTCTCCCCCTTCACTGGCCAGTTAAGTAATCCAGCTGCTTGAGATATGAGAGATTCTCTGATGTCCCCCTATTTATCCAAATTAATTTGGGAAATGTCTGAGCTTTACATTGCTCATCTAAATTTCTTGTATGGTTAATCATTTAACTGTTATTTGCCATCACGTGCACCTGCAACTGCATTATGATCTCTTTTTGTGTCAGACATGGATTTATTTGGTCTCCTACTCTTGTCATTTAATCACTGTACTTATAAATTAGCGAAGATCCAATACAAAACTCTGCTCTGGATCTCCTAGTGTATCTTGTTCTAATTTATCACAGTACAGTTTCTCAGCTGTGTTCTGTGACTTCCAGTCTGAACAGTATTTTCTGCTTAGTTCCCTCTGCACATGCATGTTTAGCAACTATGAATCACAGCAGAACTTGTTCTGAGAGGGAACTTGTTAAGTAAGTGGCCCCAACACTTCAAGAGTCAAATGTTACTAATTGCCTGTTTGGTTTTGGCTGAAGCCCAAGAAAGGTAGAAGTCAAGCAGCAGTTAAACACTGTGATTTCACTGAAACAAAATACAGCAATCTCCTTATTAAAATTAGCTCTAGCTGCTGCCCAGAGCATTTAACGTGTTGCCATACATGATGTGTGTTATGAGACAGACCTGGCTAAAAACCCTGAACTCAAGTGTCATCGTTTGGTCAAGGGCATTATTGAGGCTGTGACCAGACTCCAAAGTGAAAACTAGAATGAAAAAACAGCCAATACAAACTGTCTGACAGAAATACATAAGCATATCTTCTATTTGCTTCTCCTGCTTCCTTCCCACTTCTGCCTACAAACTTTCTTTACTTCTAGAATCACATCTGGCTTTATGTATTAGCCAGCTAGTTCTTAGTGAATATTCACGGTCAGTTATTTCACTTCTCTTCTACTTGTAAGTTAGGTTTTGAAAGCACCCATTCTTTGCTGTTCTAGTACACAGCGCCAGTTCAGCTGTTTCACTCAGTCCACAACTGTGAGATTACTCGTGATGGAACTCAGAGTGTGTTTTACCTTTGCTTTTCCTTTAGATTTTGTCTTAGATCTTCATTTGAGATTTTTTTAAATTGTCAGCATTGTTTTTTTGGCCCATCCTAAAACTATTTCCTATTTCCAGGTACAAAAGTCTATGAAAAATATAGACTTGGTTGTCAGAGAAAGAGAAATTGCTTTGAGGCTTTTACAAACCGGCCAAGAAAAACCAGTACCTGGCGAGTGGAGACATGACTTCTTAGGACGCACCTATTGGTATGGAAGAGAATTTTTGTTTTATATGTGTGAATTTTTCTTGTGGTATCTCTCTTTACCAGAAAATCCTTATCTAATCAAGAAAGGAGCCATATACTGTATGGAAGGAAACATGTTTTCTGCTCAGCACGCAGGTGCTTCTTGAGTGGTTGTTTTTGGTTTTTTTTTAAAGTGGTTATAATTGTTGCTAAATAAGTCAGTGGCAAACTCAAACAGTAATTAAAGCAAAATTAGTTCCATGTAAGTAATGATTTCTGTACTAGGAGGATGTCTGTTACTCTATCTGTTCTGTAACACATGAATGAACTAGGGGAGCACTGCTCAAGTTGAACCATCTTCCCTAGTTATCATGCAAAATCCACATGTCGGGGGGCAACCACCCAAAGTATTGCATGAGACTACATCAACATCCGTTGGAATTCCCTATGAGTCTTGGCAGGTATTTAACTTAGTTAGAAGCTTCTACCTTTAGAACTATTTATTGTCCAGATACTTTCAATAATCTGTAATTTCAGGTGACGATGCTGAAGGCTCCGGCAGGACCTGCTGTTTCACTAACCAGTATTTTCCCCTCATTGTACTGGCATGCGATCACTAATTACAGTATTCAGCTCTGCAGCAGCTGACACTGTAGCTAACAGAAGGTCACTCATTATAAAAATAGTGAATTTTCAGTTGTCCATTTGTTTATCCATTAAATATAAATAAGCACAGTACTAAATGCACTAACCACTAGGTTTACGGCTCTGGGGTAAGGCTTCTGCACACCTCTTTCTGCTTGGAAACATTGTCCTCAAAGGAGGGTTTGCCCATGTATTTGCAAGTCCAGTCCCTGGTTAAAGCAGGGGGAAGGGGCAGACGACATGAAATGCTCTTTAAGCACATGCAGGAATTCTGCAATACACGTAACAGTGGGTCTGACACAATCTGCACGCACTGGAGTCTGTAGGTTAGTCTGCACAAGCCATCTGTGCAGCCCATATGCAAGAGAAACCCCGAAGAGAAATAGTGGAGTCTGTATTTAGAGGGAAAGGCTTATGTTCAGGCGGCTTTGCACTTGACATGACACTCAAACACTGCCATTTAGAAGAAAATTGTAGTAGAAACAGAACTCTGCACACACAGTTTGTTCACATCAGCTTTTGAAAGTTTTCTTATGAAGAAGTAACTAAAATGTAAATTCAAAGAATCATTATCTGTATTGGGCCCTCTCTTCAAACATCTACGGGTTTTAAAGCAAGACCACTTTCTACAGAAAGGTGCTGCACTACGTACAAGATGTAGAGTTACAAACCAAGCCAGTAACAGCGATGAAAGTAAATACCCACATAAAAATTTTGCAATCTACCAGTCAGACCATTTTATCACTGAACTGTAACCAAGTGTAACTGGTAGAATCTAAGAATGAAGACAAAAAGTATATGTTCTAGAATTACTTTTATCTATCTTTAACAGGTACACTTACAAGGAATGGCCAATACCATGGTACTTGAACAAAAAACACCTAAAGAGGAAATTCTATTACTTACCTCATGTGAATCACTTCATCAGGTAAAAAACTTTTTTTGACATTGAAAATTATTTTCTGATCTGTTCCTCAGTCCTCCTTATTCCACTTTGCAATGAAAAAGTAGTAGTAATCTTGTTCTGTGGTTTGGTTTTGGTTTTTAAAGATAGTAGACTGAAAAGAAGGCTGTTTAAAAACACAGCTTGGCTGCTTTTTGCTGTTCTCTTCTTAGTTATGCAGTGACTTAGTTTGAATTTGCTTTGTAAAAGTCATGTTACATGCAGAATACCCAAGATCCTCACAGAGGTTGAATTTCTGTAGAATTCAAAAGCAGCTTTTGCTTTGCAAGCATTTTTGCTATTGAAAGCAAATTAATACTGAAGTTGTTAATCCCTGGGAGCCTCCATTTGATTAGGGGGCTGAGCTCCTTAAGGATGTTACAAGCTATCTAGAAACTAACCACACTGACTTCTTTATTGCAGACTCAGACTTGAAAAATATTTACGTACAAGGGCAAGAAGGCAAAACCTAGAGAGGACAAGGCGGAAGGTCTTGGAAAGGAAGTTCCCACACCTTGCTACAAAATCTCAAAGCCAGTAATGTGCTGCAAGAGAACTGCAAGGATTTGGTCAAGTATCTTTGTGACCAGAACATGAAACAAGTTCTGAAACCAGTGAACAACTTGACTGAGCATTCCTGAGAGTCTCCATCATCTTTTTTTTTTTTTTTTTAATCCACATGTGACCTAAATTAAATTTGTGATCTGGAATTAAAAAGTAGCTTTGGTGAATAATTCTCATGCTAAGAGTTGTTTCTGGAAACATTAGAAAAGTGACATATTAATCATCTAATTTAAAAGTAAGACATATATCATTAACAGTGAAAAGCAGCAACTGAATGCCAGATGAAAGTATTAAGTGTACAGATAATATTTACCTGGTTTAACAAATATGCATTAACACCAGACAGAAACATGAGAGCCTCTGAAGCTCATGTACTGGCCTTTGTTCCCTGATCATCTGAGTTACTGGTATGTCACCTAAGTTACATGTACTTTCTACTATAAGCATGGAAAAAACACACTCTTCAGTCTGCTCTTAGGATCTTTTTCCCTGCTTTAAGTCAGCTCATGAGAAATTATGAAATATTTAGCATGTGAACTTCTAACAATGCAGTCTTTATACCTAGATTTGTCGATACATATGACAAATTCCGACATCTATGCAATGCTTTATTTGCAGCATGCAAAATTTTTAAAGGAAAACTAGTAATAGTCTTCTATGAAATTGAAGCAGAAAGGTACTGTTACTGCTCTCAGTTGATGGTAAATACCTACTTCATTAAAGCTTTTAATCTTCAGATGAGGTTGTGTAGAAATTTAAATACAGTCACCAATACTAGTCCTTCAGGAAGCCAATGCGCTATGCAATATAATCTGATAAAACTGGAAACTCCAAGGAAATCAAAATTGTAGGAGACAGACATGTCTATCTCCATCATCTTGACCTTCAGTTACTCTTCTCCATCACACAAAATTGCCACTTCTTAAACAGAAACTCCTTACAGTGGTGAGAAAACCCCGGAAAGTGTTTTGCTCTCCATATGGTACAAGAACATTCACAGATATTGCCATCATACTGTAATTCTTTTAAGAAGATGATACACAGAAAATAAAAGTTGATGAGACATAATGAAACCTAAGGACATGACAGAAGGAAGCCTTGAAATGCATAGTCATTTCATGAAGAGAAACCAAAAAAGCCTACTTTATATCATCATCTTTAGCTAGAAGCTGTCCAATCTTAGTACTTCAACTGATGCTACAGTAACATTATAGAATCATTGAATGGTTTGAGTTGGAA